AAGAAGTTGGTCTTCAAGCACAATGATTTGGAGGATTTAGAGGCCAAGTTGGCATCTCTTCCACGTGAAGTTCCCAAGATTATTGCATTCGAATCCGTGTACAGTATGTGCGGCTCGATCGGCCCCATTGAGGGAATTTGCGATTTAGCCGAGAAGTACGGCGCGCTCACCTTTCTCGATGAAGTCCATGCAGTAGGCATGTATGGACCACACGGCGCTGGTGTAGCAGAACATCTAGACTATGAAGCTCATCTTGCAGGTCGTCCAAAAGGTACCATCATGGACCGTGTGGACATCATCACTGGAACTCTAGGTAAAGCATACGGGTGTGTTGGTGGTTATATTGCCGGATCTCATAAGATGGTGGACGCCATCCGATCTCTTGCTGCCGGTTTCATTTTTACCACCTCTCTTCCACCCGCAACCATGGCCGGTGCCCAAGCCGCCATAGAATATCAATCGGAATACCAAGGTGATCGCCGCCTTCAACAACTCCATACTCGAGCCGTCAAAGACTCGCTCAGCGAGCGCGATATTCCAGTCATTCCTAACCCCTCTCACATTATTCCCGTTCTTGTTGGAAATGCGGAGCTTGCCAAACGTGCATCTGACATGCTTCTTGATGTTCACGGCATTTATGTCCAATCTATCAATTATCCTACCGTTCCTGTTGGTCAAGAGCGCCTTCGTATTACTCCCACACCAGGCCATGTTCGCGAATATCGTGAACATCTTGTCAACGCCATCGATTCTGTATTCACCGAACTCGGTATCAAACGCACTTCCGAATGGGCCGCCGAAGGTGGTTTTATCGGTGTAGGTGAAGCTGGCAGCGAGGCTCCGGAACCACTTTGGACCGACCAACAACTTGGCGTGGACCAAATTGTTAAGGAAATGAAGGCCGCTGGTCCAGTGGGTGTCATGGAGGCACTCCTAGAACGAGAGACCAAAGAAACGGCCAAGGCTGTTAGTGCTGCAGCTCATTAGTGCCCTTTCTCTCGACACAATATTTGCGTGTAGAACTGCCGCAAAATTGTGATGGAAATCGGATGAATAAATGCTCCTCGGACCCAAAACCACGATCTTTCTGAGCTTACAATGGATCTTAGACGACAGTTTTCAGACGATAGTTTATATGATGGCATGGATAGTTGTTGATATCACTGGAATTTCTGCGCACGTTGGCTATTTATTTTAGGATGATAGCATATTTTGCGGAATTGATCAAATCTGTATTGACTATATTGGTCATACATTACATACTGAGAATCCTATGTGTTGATGTGATTGTGTGTACCATTGTGAATCTTCATGAAGTTGGAAAATACAGGATGCTATGCCTAGCTGGCTGCACAATGTATGAATAAATGTGCTATCATAGAATGTAGCCATTTAATATGACAGAACCGGGCCAGCGTTATGTTCTCTAAAGTATCATCACAGAACTCATCTCACATTGACTTGTAGGGAAGTTATATATGTTGTGCGTCGCATATGGTAGGACGTTACATACTATGCGTGTCATCATCATCTCTGGTATTGATAGTTCCCTTTTCGCTAACTACCTACCCTTTAAACCTGCATAACTAGAGTCTCCAAGTCGTCAGATCCCATGTGTCATGTAGATACCTACCTACGTAACCTAACCAACCCACCATTTGAAACCGGTAAAGCCTCAAGTGAATTTGACTTGAACTTTTCATTGCCATCATGATTGATCATCTTCCTGGAGCAAATCATAAAGAGAGTTATTATTCACCAGTAGAGCATCACCATACACGCACACACACGATGAAATAACCAAACTCCAGGTATCCCTTTTCCAATTCATCTATTGACAACAACTATCTAGATATATGTTGCTATCCGCGGCCATGCATTCTGTACCTATAGTCCCAAAATCAAAACCAACCGAGGCCACAGGGAAATTCAATTATCCTCCTTCATGACCTCGCTTAAAGAACGTATCATACACCGCGCAGAAATTCGCAAAACTCCTTATACTATGCTATTTCTCCAACGTAGCCGTGAGCCATAATGAGCAGAACAAATGCTATTTTGTATGCCAAGAAACACATCCAAGTTCAGCTCCAAGAAAATGTCCAAAGGTTGAGAGCGCGCAGCTAGTCATAAGCAACACTGAAGCTAGCCATCCAATGGGTAGCAGAGTGCATGAGAGACATGCAAACTAAAAAAAGAAGAAAAGAAAAAAATATCAGGAACAAGAAGGGGTATAATAGAGACTGCTATTGAGTCCGCTGGTTGGTCATTGTCGTCATTGGTGTATTTATTTTTTGGTCGTTCTTGTGGATTTCATCATCCTGGTGATGCCCAAGTCGAAACGAGCTTTTTTTCAAGCTAGTTGGTAATATATGTTTGTTTTCGTCAATTGTCCTTCTCATAATCCAGACCCGACAGGAAACAGACCTCCGCATATGTCTAAAGCCCCTTCGATCTCTCCTTCCATTAAGTTGACTCTATCTTTTAGAGTCTTATTTTCAGCTCTTAACAAACCCACAGTATCCCATGCCATCGATGCTCCCTGACCACTACAATTTGCGCATCCACTTGTAGGACTTGATTCGCCAGAGCCAATACCTAGCATTTTTTTGAAAGCTGAAGTTTGAGGTTTTGGTTTGGCAGGAACGACTATCGTAGGATTATTGTTTAGTTGAGCATCCTTTTGTAAAGCTCCAACACGTCCAAACGTTGAAGGAACATCAGGGGTGCTGTCTCTTGTACTATCTTTGGTTGTCATGACAGTCGAGACAGTAAGTGTGGGACTCCGGCTTCTCGAGAAGACACTTTCACCTCCGCCACTTGCCATATCATCGTCACTTTCGCCGCTCAAGTCAGCACTACCTGTACTTTTCCTCCATTTAGCTCTTATATCTGGAGAAATGCCTAGATCTTCTTCTCCCGCCGTCGAACAACAGCTTGCACGATGTTGTGAAATCCTCGCCTCTTCTTCCCTCCTTTTGATCTGAGCATTAAACTGATCTCTCTCTTCCACACGAGCCAGTTTTTCTTCAGCAAGTTGGTTTACTAATTCTTCTATAGTGGTATCTTGTTCATTGAATTTCTTGACCATATCTTCTAGTTGGAGTTTAAGGAATTTGGCGCGAGTCTCGGCCTCTTCTAATTCTTCTTCTTGTGCACCCTTTTCAGCTCTCGTTTCATTGTATTGGATAGTGCGAAGTTTATATACGTTTTGGAGTTTTTGTATGACGCCCTCGGCATTAACGCGAAGGTTCTTGAAGGCAGCAGGGGAGAAAGTGTCGATTTGACCGGATGGAAATAGTGAAGATTGGATATCGAGATTGATGTACTCGTCGTTGTCCAGATCTGAAGGTAGTTGAATTGGTTGAGCAGAAGCCTTTGAAGAAGATAAGAAGCCGAAGACGCCGGTTGATTTCGCAGGAGTAGAGTTGGAATCGAGGACAGGGAGAGTTCCCCTTCTTTCGAGCTTTCGATTTGGCGAAGGTTCTCTAGCAGATGCCTTTTTTGAGTCCAGTTCATCTTGTTCCGATCCTGTAACTTCTGAAGCCGAAGATCCCCCAAACCAACCGCTTTTCCTTGTGGAAACTCTTGCTCGACCACCTTTATCTCCAGTCAACGACGCCATGTATTCGAATGGTATATCCTCCTTGGTTGGTGAATTATCTGCTGATCCGTTGGTAGCTTGGGAATTCTGACGCGTGCTCCAGGAAGGTAGTAATTGTGAAAGGGAGCGTTGGTGTGTTCGAGCTGGTCGCGGAGGAGTTGTTCCTTCATTAGCCGTTGATGGAGTATTCCTCGCAGTGAGGGCCGCAGTCGCTGGTAAGGGAGCAGGTGCTTCGATCTTGTTTTGATTTGTTCCTCCAGATGCCTCATCTGCAAATTGGGTCTCCGCCCATGCTGTCTTTAATGTTGAGACCGTTCGAGCTGTATCTGGGGTTAAGGAATGTGTTCGTCGATGTGTTTGGGGCTGTATCTTGCCCTGTGCTGCAGGGACAGGAGATTGGAGATTTGGCATAATGAAATTCTCGGCATAAACTTGTCTCGGATGCTCTTGCCGTTTATATCCAATCTGTTATTGGTACCGAGTATGAATAATAAATAACCTTGCTCCCTTCCTTCTTCATGCGAGGAAATGAAGGGTCGAGTGATGTGCCTTCAAAGGATCATCCACGTATGGTTCCGTCAGACTTGTGTGTTACGAATGTCGATGAGACAAATGTCGATGATATTGACATGTAATATCTCCAGGCAAGATCTAGATAAGTAGGAATGAAGATTTTGAATATAATCCCTCGTGCTGTGCACAAGAATTCTGAAAGTTTATCTTAGAGTTTCGACAACTTTGGTAGCTTAAGAAAGGGACGGGATATAGGACCCGACCCCCTGGTTAGATGACTAGATTTCTTTTGGTAGGGTTGTAGTGAGTGGGGTTATATGAACGAACTTATCTCTTCTGGTCTGAAGAATGGGTTAAAGTAATGAAACAGCCGTTAACTTTTAAGTCATGAGATGTTTTTAGGTTCAACCCGATGGATATGATTTGTGTATTTGTGGCTAGGTACAAAGCCAAATACAAAACACAGATAGACACCTCGGTAGTAGTAATAGATTGGTGTCTAATCTAAAGTTACAACCATCTCAAGAGACACGCCGTAAAAGAAACCTAAACTAGTAGTTGGCAAATCCATGGTACTGTCAACGCATCTTGTATGTACGAAGTACGAAGTACAAAATAATGGTGGTTGGTTGTTTGGTGGAATGTATGTGTAGGAGCGTGAGCTTGGCTTGGGCATCTCGAGCCTCAAGGACATCCACATCACGTAAATGCGCATATTGCGCGACCATGGAAAAATGATGAGAGGGGGTTGGTGAATCACAATCAAGGATTGAGGATTGTAACTGCAGCATCTACCTGGGTAAGTATTGATACTGAAATGTCCATGGCAAGATATGAAAGAACCAATATATGCACAGATAGTTCAAACATTTCTATTGAAAATATGTATTACTCGGGTATTTATGTTGGGTATAGCTCGGTATAGTACGAATGTTATTCAGAGTTTAGGGTGGTGGCACTTGGAAGCTTGGACTGATAGTCGCAGGGAGACTCGGTTCATCCCTTCACTCAATCACTCCAACATTCCTCGGCGTTGGAAAGGTCCTTTCAAATTTCACCTCAAAGCTCCTGTTACGTATGCACCATATCAGATTATCATCATTGCGGAAAGCGCTTTTGAAGATCCTTCACAATCATCGTTTCGTTGTGGTGTATCAGCTTTCGACTGTACTCTTGAGAATATGTCATTCGCTCGCCAATCGTACGACATCTAAGTCCGTCTACATCTACTCCGTACACACACAAGGTACAAATCTAGCCTCTTCAGAAAAGTACTCGCACAAGAGTAGTCATTCTGATCCCGCCTCATTGGGTCGATACTGCAGGAAGTAAGTGAGATATGCAACAAATGCTGCAAGAATCTGGCAAAGCAAAACAACACCTAGGTAGCCTTGAACTAATTGCACAAGAAGATACCCGAGTAGTTGAGCCAACCAAACTTTGAGTTACTCAATGCACTCACTAGGTTATACACAATCGTGACGATGCATGGAGATGACCTTAGTGTCAGTGGGCTGCTATTAGCAGATAGTAGTTAACAGTGAGACAGGCAGTTAGCAGAATATACCTCATCGCCTCTTCGTCAATTACAGTACGGCACTGTGTATTTTAGAGGAAGTAGCCGGTATGAATCCCCAAAGACTCAACAATCTTTTCATTTCTGTCGCATAAATCTCGGCTTCTTACATCCCAGCCACTCCCAGCCAATCTAATCTCTCTTCCTCCCTCATCCAGCCCCCTAAAAATAGTCCTTGCCACTACCAACACAGTAAAGCGCTTCTTTTTCATGCACGACTAAAACTACAATATCGTCAAGACATGCAACAAATATTCAGCAGCGTCACTCAAGATATGCAACAAATGTTTTAGTCATTTCTTTGAGTGATATCATGTGATGAGCATTGTTTTTGTATCTTCCTCATTCCTTATTCCTCATCTTATATATCTTTGGTGCCAGTCACGGTTTATTACATCAATAACACAATTACAATGTACAAGGAATATTGGAAATGATGGAAAAGAGACACGCCACCAGAGAATACTACACGTGCGCAGCCTGTGCTGGAAGTTTTGTTGCAGGTCTTAAGATGGGTACTTGCATAATCTGACAGGACATCTTGCATAATCTCGGACTGAAATGTTGATTGTGTCACAGTGCGGAGTTCGTCCGATGTTTCCTCGCAAAAGCTTGAATAAAAATTCTGCTTCAAGTAAATACATACATCAAGTAAGTAAGAGTGAGCCAAATGTTATCAGCCGGGCAATATCTTCGTGGTCATGGTCTGAATACGTCTAATGCAGAAGTACAACTATGGAACACAGGTATCACTTACCAGAGATATACTTATCATTTCAAAAAATGATGTTCTTACAGCTCCCAAACTGCCAGAAAGTAAATCTGGATGTTCGCTATATGGAGGATTCCTCTCGAGAAGAACGCTCCATCGTACAATCGACGATGAGAGCCATAGTCGATGTTCTCCGATTGGTGAGACTTCTTATTGGAATCTCTGGACTTATGATCCGATCAGCGATGAATAAACATGGGAAATTTAATGTCTCAAAAGGTTGTGATATCTTGCATTCTCATCTTGTGTGTTTAAGATATCATTGTTAGGGAGACGAACTATGTAGCAAACAACCAGACTTGTCAAAGTTACATGAGAAAAATCCTATTGTAAGCTACTTCAACCCTTTACTGTTCACTCTGAACATCGACGACGACGCCCGCTAGGCCCACCTTGAGATAGACTCATAAGATACAATACAGCGCTATGAATTCCAAAACTTTCAAAAGGCCACCAGTGGTTAACATAAATGCTCACAATACATTCCACCCACCAATTCGCCAGTACCATATGTTTATGGTTATCTAATCTCAAAAAAAGCCACCCTCGCTTGCTCTAAACATCAATATTGTCACAGTCTCCATGCATAGTGTTCCTCATGGGACCTGCTTCGAGGACCGTGAAGTATCTGTTTGGTCAATCATCAGAAGTTACTTTCTGGAGTCGATCCATTCACCACCATAGGCGACTTCACCTTCGCATTTGTCTCTGTCTTGGCCTGCGCAGCTACTGCAGCTACTGCAGCTACAGTACTCGACCTGACTGCGAGAACTCTATCCCTCTCTCTTTCTTCCATGGTTTGGACCTTTCTCCCCCTGGTCTCTTTGGGTCTCCCCGCCTTCTTCCCCTGAGATGCCATAGGTCTCGCTTTGGAGGGTTTGATATCTTGCCGTTGTTCTCTGGGTTCTGCCCCTTCCTTTGCAAGCTTTACCCGCAGAACCTTTCTACAAAATACCATACCGTCAAGCATTTCCACCATATCCTGGGCCATGTTATGCGTGTTGAAAGTCAGGAAAGTATGGCACTTTTGCCTCCCATCTGGATGCTTTTCGATGGTCATATTGTGTAGAGCATCAAGAGGGTTTTCTGTGGATGGACTGCCGCGATATTTCGATTTTATGACGTTGTACAAGTGAGTTTTTAGGTAAGAAGTCGATGTCTCTCGAGGAAGCTGGGTAATGATGACTTTGCTTCTTACAATTTTCATTTTGTCAGATCTTTGAGTCATGTAAGAGATAGGAGGAGATGCTGCAAATGACTGTGGAGAAGGTTGTATGTATACTGGCGTATCTGGTGCCATATCACCGGCATACAACATAGATGGATAGGCGAGCGGTACTGGCACATTTGGATACATTTCAATACTTTGTATCTGTTGAATCTGAGCTTGTTAACTTATATCATGGCAATGACTTTGGGAAGTTCTACCTGAGTCAAGCCTCGATCATTAAATTTGGCTGATGTAGAAGTAGAGATATATGTGCCTTCGGTTAATGGAGCCATTTGAACGAATGGTATCTGTTGAATTGGCATTGCAGACGCTGATGAGACCGAAGATGTCGGTATTGAGAGTGCCCTTGTCCTTGAAACATTTCCGCAGGAGTTCGAGGTGGTCCACGGGATAGCAAGATCCCGCACTTGAATCGGCTTTGTTTCATTGCGGCCATCTGCACACAACGCTCGATTTCCCATAGTTCCACCTTGTAAATGCTCTGCGGCTGTTAGTCCTATCTCTTCATAATCGAAGAACTTACGGAGTGCTTTGAGAAAGTCCTCCTTTCCACGCACTGTCACCCACCCACAAGTTGACCCTGGATATACCTGTGCATGTTCGATTGCAAGGCAATGTCCCTCAGAATCATGTTTCCGTGCGAAGTCTTTTAAAATTTGCCATGTGCATGACCATGGAAGGTTGCTGACCAAAATATAGTATAAGCCAGTCACATCACCAGGTAAAACTTGAGGCATGATGTTCGATATCGAAGTTTGATAGTAAGATACAAGATGGACGGAAGTCAAGAGAGATTTGTTCCAAATAAGAAAGTTATATGTAGGCTACAGTGCTTAAGGGGGCTGTGACTTCAGGGTGTATTTAACATTTGATGGATTATCAAAGGAAAGCCTTAATGTTAAGTACTCGATCAAGAGATTCTAGGCACTCACTGCAAAAGGCCGAATTCGAATAGGCATAGAAATAGACTGAAACTCAAGACTCAAAATTAAGAAGAGCAAACGAACTCTTGCTGCAATTTTTGCCGATTACCTGTCAATTTTTCAAACCACTCCTCAACTTCTTGTGATGCAGAGATGGATTATTATTTATGTGCAAGTGCAAAGCGGAATTAGACATAATTGCTAGCTGTGATCTGGCCCAAAAAATCGTATCCCAGAGTAACGGTTCGAAAAAGAAGAAGAAAACAAAAGGCCTGAGATGAATTAATCCATGAAAGTATCTGTGTAACGTATGGTTGGAGCCAGCAAAAGAAAAGCTTCAGAATCAAATTTGATTCAGATACTCCACATGTCTACCTACCATCCTGCGTCTTTCCGAGGCGATCAACTATCTATCCCGCCATCTGATTGGAGAAGAAATCATCGATACGCCGGGAGATATCAACATCTCTAGGGTACCAAGACCCTGAATGAATAGGAACTTCCATATTAATGGTGCGCCTTCTCCGAATTCCCATCATGCTTCCCGAATGCACATGAGTCTTGGAAATGTGTGGTGGCTTGGATAACCAAAATAGATAGAGGCGATGGAAAAGTTGCAATTGCCATTGAAAGAGGCCCAGAGCATGCTTCCTGTCACAGATTCTGCGACATGAGTTGATTTAGAGTGGCGCAGCCGACCCTTTAGACGTTTTCCAAGGTTGACATCGATTTTTCAACTCATACTGAATACTCAACTCTCCCTTAGAAAACGGTTTCGAGGATACTGATTTGGATTCCTCGAATTTAGCAAGGAAAAAATATCAGGGGAAATGCAGAGATCCTTAGCAATGGCCCCTATTTTCAAGAACCCTTTTCCTGCCAATTTTGAATCATTAAGCTCACGTAGATACTAACTTTTCAAGAATCTCCCTCTGATTCAGCCAGGTGGTGTATAGCCAAATATTCTTTGTGTAACCGAGAATACATCTGCCGTTTAACTTCAACGCTTTACATTGAATGCGATAAGTACGGTGATGCCGCGATTGGTGGATGTTTGGGATATATATTAAATCAACGGCCCAACCAAGATAGAGTGACTAGCCACCGACCCGGATCAGAATTCAGGGTTCTACATGACACCACCAAGCCATAACAAGAAGCAGGTTGTCAACATGGTAACATGGGACTGCAGACGCAGTCACAAAGGCAAACATATACGCATAATAAGTTTGGCCCTCACTTTAAAAAAAATTGTCGTATGGAAGCTTCCTTTACAATCTAAAGAATGTTCCGAGCAGTTTCTAGGTCTTTGGTAAATTCATAAGATTACATTTTTGAATGAACCGAAGAGCAGTGATAGCTTGGATATTAAAAAAACACGATATCTCAATCTAGAAGCTATAAAATGATCGAACAAATCTGAATTGAACTTCGAAACTTATGTTTCTAGAAATCTTTCTTAATTATCGCGGGTAGGATATTCGGCTATTTTGCCCGGTCGCAAGACTTAAATTTACACAACTAACGATCATCCCTATGATTTTCTAGAAAAGCTTAAAAGATAGGAGAAACATAAGTGCATGTAGGAGAAGATGCAGGGAAAACACAAGCACAATCGATCGAAGATTTCTACCCCAGGCATGCATGCGTGCATACATGTATAGCATCAAAAATGGCTGACTTGTAGCAAATTGATGGTTTGCCAATGAAAGACGCCAAAACGATTTGATTAGATATGATGTGAACTTGGCATGTATTGTCCGTCTATTGATGCAATGATTTTGAGCCCTACAGAATGTATCGAGGATTTCTCATCCGCGCAGGGACACAGCATACCTGAACTCTCTGGAGGGATGGAGTTTAGGAAACAATTTTACGGGTAGTCACGTATCAGAGTCGGTCAATAGGATGTAGTCCGAAGCGATTAAGGCCTTGAAGAGTCATCCATCAATAGTCATAGATATGAGTACATGTCAAATGTAAAATGGCTTTGCTAGGGTTTCATTGGCTTGACACAATTGAGAAGAGAGACACAGTGTCAAGGGTTGAATTCTGATCGAGGACAGCTAGAAGGACCAGAATGAATATTTTCAGGGGGTTTAAACTCGACAATCTATCGACTTGAGCGGTCACTTCCTCTGAACTACCTGAAGATTGATTACTTGAGGATTTTGGTATCATTGCTATTTGCCAGACAATTTGAGCGATTTGTCATTCGAATATTGTTCAAGATTGAGGTATCAGGGAAATGATGGATATTGAGCGACCAGGAACGTTGACATCATTTGCTTGATTCATAGGATTTTCGATCTTTAGTTGATCTGGGGATATGCATATCATTTGACCATATCTATTTGTTTATGGCAGTTGAAGTCTGTGGCTGTCCTAATCGACAACAATTAGCATTACCGGGATATGCACAGTAAAATCATGGGAGAAAATTGTGGTAAGTAACACATAAATTGGTAGTACAGCATAAACAAAAGTATTTTCGAAATAAATTCTACATATCGCATACACGAAATACAAGGGCAAGGGCCAAAGAAGAAAGTAACACCAATCGAATCCAATTCTGTCTGCGCCTGCGCCCGCGCCACTCAGCTTCTTAGCTCTCAAAATATGCAATCCTCCTCATGACTTCCATCAAACCTTCAGTTTACGCTCGATAAGGTTGAGCGACATATGAAGCGACGGGAGTAGAGAAGCTGTATGGGACATAACCGTGAATTGAAGAAGTAGTGGTGATGGTCGAACTAGAACTGCTGGTGGTCGAGTGTGACGACGAGCTAGTTTTGCTTGTGATTGAAGATGAGCTGCTTGAGACGATAGTCGTCTTCGCGCTTCCCGTTGAAGATGCATGGCCACTGCCGCTAATACTTCCAGTTGGTTTGAAGGAACCCGATGAGTGTGGAAGCCCAGAGCTGCGAATGCTGCCCGATGGTTTGATACTACCGGATGGCTTAATACTACCGGAGCTGCGAATGCTGCCTGATGGTTTGATACTGCCGGATGGTTTAAAAGTGCCCGATGGTAGTGCGAACCCTGTTCCCGTCTCGATATGATGTACCCCAGTCCCAGTGCTAATAGTTGTATTTGACCCTCCAGTAGGAAAAGGTGCTTTTGATGAGCCGGTCACGCTAATGCCCAATTCAGAGTGCGCAGATGTGGGTCGGACACTGCCGGATGGAAGTCTATATGAGTAAGTGCCGTTGCGAGAATATGGAAGGCCCGTGCCTCTAACCGTACCGGTCGAATATGCTGTTCCAGTCGGTGCATGGCTTGTAGTGGTAGTCTTCTTACCCTTGGCAGCAGATACGAATTCGTCATATTGAGTTTTCGATTTAGGATTGATAGCAAACACCATGCCTGACTCACACTCATTCTTTTGACGACTAAGATGACATTAGTGAGAGTGATGGAATCTGTAACGGGCCGATACATACCTGAAGAAAAACAGTGGGTTAGTGGCGTTTGTAACGGGGAAGTCGACAAATGTAGTCATGTTTTTGGCCAAAACGGGCTTGAACCCCGAATCGTAGACACCATTCATAACGCAAGGAGCCGCAATATCACAAGAAGTTATGGTATGATTAGTTGGGTAGAAATTGAAGCGCACGGTATCTCCTTCCTCCGCATCAATGTATTGAGGAGAGAAAGAGAGAGTGCCATTTTGGCCAATTGAGACAACGTGCGTTGGCTTGGTTGGCTTTCCGGTTCCAGTGGGTTTGTGTGAGATGCTAGTTCCTGTTCTAATACTTCCCGTTGGATAGATAGGTTCGCTTCCATTTCCAAACGAGTATGGTGGTCCTGTAGGCTTACCAGTAGAGGTCGCTTTGCCGGTCTTGGTTCCGAGAAGGCTTCCCGAGTGTGTAGGTGGGAGACTAGGTGTGGAAGTAGCGCTGGCGATTTTAGTTATTGTAACTGTGCTGGCCTCACCGTAGACATCTACCGTGACATTAACAGTGATGATCTGAACTACAATGATTTCTCCACCTGAACCATAAACAACCTCTGTGCAGTCATAAGTTGTAGCACCGGTAGGACAGACTTGGACTGTGGAAACCCCTGATATCACGTTTACTTGTGTGACGGCTCCGGTAGCGCCGGCCGAGGGAAGGGGTGTGATCTGAGCTCCCATAAGCGATCCCGTTCCACTTATAATAGGGGTAGAAGTTTTGAACACCTTCAGAGATGTCGATGTGGAAGTGGAAACTCCTCCAATAACGGTTCCTCCACTGTTGACTGTGATTGTTTGAGCAGGGGCTGTAATAGTTTGAGCAGGTGCTGTGATGGTAACTGGTGTGGGAGCAGATCCGCCTCCAAGTGTGACAGTCTGATATATTGTTGTACCAGATTCCTCTGCTTCGCCATACCCTCCACCTTCCCCAAGAGTAACGGTGGATGTTACGAATGAAGGTTCTGTGACAGTGATAGTAGTGGGCTGATAGATTGTGGTTGTGACAGGAGAACAGTTAGCATCTGAAGATGCAGCCCCGATTCCAGAAAGGAGAGAAAGAGCAGCTGCGCGTGAGAACTTCATGATGGGTATATGAATAAGAAAACGTTACAACCCCCGAAAAAATTATGTAAGAAAAATGAACTGGTAAGGACCGTAAAGGGAAAATTTCCCAAAGACAAGATTGCTGAAAGAAAAGAAAGATTGGGCTGAACTTAGAGTTTCAAAAACTGGCAGATACAGCCAGTTATACGCATTGGCTTCAATGGTATCATGACTGAAAGACAGTGCTACAGTATGGGATTTTGGCTTTGAAAGTTACATGCTGCGCAAAAAGGCATGTCATGATTCTGGGGAG